GACCTGAACTATACACTATGCATCAGAGAAGGAGAAATACCTTGTGGGGATGAGGCCATAGATAGATTTTTGACCTAAGTCCACCTCACACTCTGACGACTGTGGCTTTGAACACAACAGAGGTTTATTTTCATATTTTTTCCTGAATGAATAATTGTCATGGATATGAGAACAGCAACTGTCAGAGTTTTTATTGCTTGACATATAGAATAATGTTTTATTTGGTAGAAGGACCAAATAAAACACTAGAATTTTTTTTTAAAAAAAGCAGATTCATGTTGCTATCAATGATCCAAACATTGTAAGGACAATTTTTTCTATCACATCTCCACTCAATTTAAGCCAATATAAAAGATGGATGGGATGTAGAGAACAACAGAAAAATTAAAATGTAGTGACAGCTTCAATCAGAGTTGCTATTTCAGATGAGGTCTTTTCATTGAAGTATATTAGTAAATATCCTGGTACTTGGCATGCATCTATCCATCTGGAAAATTTTCTTAATCTTGATTGATAGAAAACTCCAGAAGCAGTGTGTATGCATTTGACAAAAATCACAAAATTTACTGTCTTGCATATCAGATCCTCCTCTATGACATAACCCAGAGACAATGGATATTTCAATGTCACACAAGACATTAAACTCTTATGTATCACTAGAGGCCCGGTGCACAAATTTGTGCACAGGTAGGGTCCCTCATCCTGGCTGGCTATCATGGCCGATCGGGGCAGGCCGGCCAGGGGGAGGGACCTTGGGAGGTTGGCCAGCTGCAGGAGGTTGGCTGTGGGAGTGCACTGAACACCAGGGGGAAGCTCCTGCATTTAGCATCTGCCCCCCTGGTGGTCAGTGCACATCATAGCTACCAGCCGGTCATCCAGTCGTAATGGTCCCTTAGGCTTTTATATATATAGATAATATATTGCTGACTTGATATGGAAGTGCAGAAATAGTAGACAAAGTAGGTGGTTTCATAAAATACATGCATTCCAGAGAGTAGAAGATGAATGCCATGAGAATCCAGGATGGAGGCTTTGGCAGTAAAAGGAAGTCTCTGGGCTGAGTCATAGGAGCTATGAAGGAACACTGCCTTCTTTGTAAAGGACATCATGAAAATCTTCCCAGCCTGTTACTGTTGTTTAATGGAGGTTGAATCTCCACCTTGGGGTACCAGGCCATGAAACTTGAGCTGTTAATCATGAGATTAGGGCTAGATAATCAATTTGTCCATATTTTTAGTTATACCCAGCAATACTCTTGTCAATGAGCAGAAGTGTTACATAGAAGATTAGTTCAATAGGCCTGAAGATCCAAGTAAATTCAATAAGTACATCATGCACTCCTTATTATACCTACTTTTTGACGCTGCTCCTTTTTTTCTTATCTCAGCCTGTATAATTTAGCTCATATCAAATCCCCTATGACTAGTTAACAGTGGGTAGGGAAAAAAGTAAAGCTTCTTTTCATATCATTCTACATGACAGACTAACTTTTATTACTATGGCAATGGAGCCCTAGCTAGGCATAATCCTTTAAGATGGTATAAAATATAAACACTCCCAATAAGAAAAACATTAAGCAAGACATTTCATTATCTCTGATCTAGAGTTGAAAAATTTTCCAGGTGGTCAGGGAATGAGAAAAATGGTGACAAGGGAATTTATTTTTATACTGGGAAATAATTTAATATATTTAAAACTTGAAGATATTTATATTTATTTATTTTAAGTACTAGGGAATTTAACTTTATCACTAATTTCTCTCTCTTTCTTGCTTTTCCCCTAAGTTCCAAACAGCAAAATAACCCATTAAAAATCATTTCTTTCCACACCATTACACCTATATTTCCTCCATCTTGTCCTGATTCATTCTGTTGGTTTAATCTAGCATTATATTTGCATCATAAAACCATAAATTTCTTGAGGAATATACAATCATTTTAGTTATATAACCAGGAATGAATAACTCTAAATTAACTGCAGCTGAAATCTTTTTAAGAAAATTTTTTTATCACTTCTACCATACTTTCTTATTGTCAGAGATATCAGCAATAAACACAAATTTCTAGATTTCTCTGAATTCAATCTTGACAAGGTATTCTCTAAACAAAACATATTATTGATATTTGAAGGGCAAAACTTTAATCTTTATGTCTTTAATTTAATTCCTGGATGGTACAACATCCTGAGGTATTGTTATCTTACAGCTCAGAGAACTAGCTATTCTTGATGCGCAACAGTACTGTGGGCATTCTATCTGACTAGGATGTTCTTTCTGCCAAACAAGGACGAGATTCTACACTTAGATGGTGAATGTTCAGTTCCTTCCTAGGAACATAATGCAGCATTCTACCAGATAACAGAACTTCTCTCTCTCTCTCTTTTTTTCCCCTTTCCTCTTCATGTGCTTCAAACCTGATCTAACTACCCAGGACTCTTTGAAGTCAAAGGAAGCTCTGAACCCAGGGAAACTCTGATGTCTGGGGCAGTCTCTCAAGATAAATGAGACAAACAGAGAAGAATGTTAGAAGAAAAAGAGAGAGATGAACACTTTAGGGATCTTGCACCATCTTGATGCCTGAGTGGTTGAGAGAATCATGCAAAAAAAATCAAGTCATGACTGGTAGGAAAAGAACAGAGGAATTATACATTTGGATTCTATCTGGACCAGGAAGTGAAAGTTCATACATCAATATAACAATTATTCTGTCTGTCGGGACATGCCAACTTTGAGTCAGGTAATTAAGAGTCAAAGGACAGAAAACCTGACCTTGGGCTTATCACTTGTGTTGGTTTTCTCATCCTGATAGGATATTAGAAAGATTACTTTTGTTTAGATTTTTGCCTTTAATGATCCTCAGCCCCAAGAATATTAACATTTATAATTATAGTGAATGGCACGTAAATTAATTACAATTAAATTGCTGCACACTACTCTTAAATGCTTCCACCAACACTGCCTAATTATGTAGAATCTCTGCAACGCTTTCATGCAAAGGTTAAAATTAATACTATAGCTAACATTGGTTACATATTTTTTTCTATTGACCTATTGATGCCTGGAAAGAAAAAAATATGATAGAATATAATTATTTTCATTCAGGGTATTTTATCAAGCCAGAATAGAATAAAACAGTCATGAACTTATAACTAAAATATTAAATATGTAAACTGTCTCACATATTTATTAAATTTTCTTTCAAATATTAGAGTGTTTGAAAAATTCTTAACACAGGCATGCTTCACACATACCAAGCATAACTTACCTACTCAAATGTGTTTACACAGCTGTAAAATCCCCACATTAACTATCGTGCAAGGAAACTAAAAATATTGCTATGAGTATGAAAATGTGAGATTTAAGTTGCTAGAAGAAAATTACTAAGGGCTTCCTGTGACATCAATTTAGATGGGATCAAGTTTGTTGATTTTTTTTTTAATTCTGCTTTAACATCTCTCTACACACAACATAGTTTCACTAATTCAGAGAAGGTAACCAGCTCATCTATCTCTGACACTACTGTCCCTCATTTCAAGATGCCAAGGAGGAAATTACACACACACACACACTCATACACACACAGACTAATATTGTGGCCTCCAGGTTATGTATACCCAATTTGAAAGCCTCCTTGTTCTCTATGGGAAATATTCAATGTAAGCCTAACTATCTGGGTTTTAGTGAATCTACTCTTGATCTTGCACAAATCACTTAGTCTGCATCTAAACTGCATTGGAGGGTGGGGAGGAAGAAATGAATGCAGGGGGACCCAAACTTTGCTGAACTTTAGAATCACCTGAGGAGCTTTTTAGACATCCCCGGGTTGCTCCCAATAGGGATTAAATCAGAATGTTCAGGCCAGGTTTCTGTCATTTTTAAAGATACTCAGGTGATTCCAATGTGCAGCAAATTTGGGAGCCAGTACATTAATACATTCAAGGAGGCACTTTTAAAATTAAAAAAATGGAGGGGCTTTCATATTATACTAGAGGCCTGATGCATGAAATTTGTGTAAGAGTAGGCCTTCCTTCCCCCCCCCCCTCCCCCCCCCACTGCTGGCACCCGGGACCAGGACTTCCCTCCTGGCCGGCACCTGGGACCCAGGCTTCCCGTGCAGCCCTAGCTTCGTCTGGAAAGACGTCCGGTCTAATTAGCACATTACGATTTTATTATTATACAGCACTATACAAAGTGATATAGGACATTATTCCCAAATTAAGTATAGCACTGTAAAAAAAAATACAGTGTTTTAGGAAGATTAATCTTCTCTTTGGGTTTTAGTTCAGTAGTCATAAAGAAACTATACATAAATAATCACTTTTATCTATTTTGCCAGAAGTGCAGAAAGTTTGTTGTTTTTTATTTGTATTTTAAGCTGACTTTAACATTATTTTAACCTTACTTTTTTTCATTTCTCTATTAAAAGTTAAGAAAAGTATCATCTCTCTTCTTTCCTTCAGAAAACATCAAACATCACACTTTTATTACATGTTTACAATAAGAGAAAAGAATATTAGAATTAATATGTGGAAAATAAATCTGAGGAGTCAGAAAGAAAATAATTTGTTCAAAGTCCTTAATTCAATGCTTCTACCTATTTAAAACAAACAAAAAGTTACCCACTCCAAATATTTTTTTCCAATATTCTGCCATAATGATCTACTTGAAAACAAAGACCTATTTAGTAAGCCTTTCTTGACTAGATTTTGTTCATTGCCTGTTGGCATGTATTATTTCTCTGCTAAATTTTTAGTCAGTGCATCAGATTGGGCTAGTTTGTATACCACACTAATCACCGTCAATTTCTATAAGCTTTTGTTTAATTAGACTTACCAAAAGGATTATGTAATTTATGTAACTAGAGAACAAATACCATGTTGTTAATAGAGACAGTAATGCATCCATTCTCAATGAAACACTCAAAATAAATTCAACTCATAAGCAACTACAAGTGTGATCCACATCCTAATAGTTATTTTGCCTTAGTTACGGGCTTTTTTACCTTCGTGGGCTTGTTAGAATCCATGCTCTCTTTGAATTTCTCCTGAACAGTTTCTGCAAGTTGACAGAGCAAGGCACCATTGTCCAATTTCTCCATAAACGTTTCTGCCGTAATCTCCTTCCCTGAAATAACCAGAAGAAGCATTACAAAAGCACAATCATGCCCCAAACACAAATGTGACAATTCATGGCAGCATATCTGACATAGTTTTATCATCAACATTTCTATTCCAGCTGAGTTATGTTGTCTGGGATAGGAAAGAATTATTCCTTTGGAGTTTTATGTTATCCTTTGGTAACAAGAATCTCAACATTTTACATTTGAATAAAATAGTTTCAACTGCATACGTGTTTTATTTCATATTAAAAGTGACAAAAGGATATTCTGGGTGAAAGAGTCCCACCATTTAGCAATCAAGCAGTCAATGAAACTCAAAGAACCAGCTTCTACCAATGACTGTACAGCTTAGCATCTGAGATTTGCTCAGTGGCCCAGTCAATTACTTGGGCCTGCAAGGCAAGGGCATAAAGCAGACTGGTATGTTGTGTTACATATACGCCTTTGCTCTCCTCTTTAATTTGAAATAGAGCCATCATCTATCAAAAATCAACCATCATTGGCTAGTTTAATAGCATGGCCAATGCATAAAGCCACATCTCTAAATCCCATTGCATTTGTTTTCCCAATTGAGATAATATGTACAGGTAAAATCAATGCTGTTGATAAACTCTCTGTAAACACACACTATCTCTATCCATTCTCTCCTCACTACACTCTCAGCTTCTTCTACTGCTCTTCTGAACATGACTCACAACTGTCCATCCCTGACATTTAATTGGTTAACCATTGTTTTTCCTTTCTCATATGTTCCCAAAGCATATTTTCCTTTTTCTTTTATAACAGCTTTATTGTGATATCATTCACATACTTTACAATTCACTCATTTGAAGTGTAAAATTCAATGGCTTCTGACACTGTATTCACAGACTTGTGCAATCATCACCACAAACAACTTTAGGACATTTTTGTAACACCCTAAAGAAACCCTTTACCATTTAATTATCACTCCTGATTGCGCTATTCCTCCAGCTCCTATAAAACCACTGAAGTTTTTCTTCTATGCTCCCCTAAACTCATCTCCCTCAAAGCTCTCTCCTATTCCTGGTTCTATAATTCTCTATTTCAGAATATTTTATCTTCCTGCCTTAATTTCCTGTAAGTTATTAATGACAAATCCTGTAGATTCATGCTTCCTTCTGCTTCTTGTGCCATCATCTTAATAAAAAAAAATGTCCTGATCCATACTTAAACCTCTAGCAACAAGAGCTATCCCTTGCACCCTCAACTTCTTTGTCCAATACATATCACACTCATTGCTAAAATTATTATTGCTAAACACCACCCTCACTGGCTCCTTCTTCATCTTTATGAAGAGTCCCCAGTCTTCGTCTCTACTTAAAATATAAAATATGTCCACTTTAACCCAATATCTAAAGGTCTTCCCAAATCCTCTAATCTACCTTTCTAATCTAACGTCCTTACACTCTGCTCCGTGGTCTGCACCCTGCCTTCACAGTTCCATTAGCCCATCTTCCAGTTCCTGCTGTCAGGGCTTTGATTCTGGCATGACCCCTGCCTGCAATGTCCTATTTCTATCTGTCTGGCCAAGTTCCAGCTGCCCTTTAATCAGAAATCCAGAAAAAGGTTCTCCCAGTTCACAATGATCTCTTTTCTGTATGGTTATACTCATGGGTATCACTCACATTGGCATTATCAAACTTCTGTAGCTGGTAATATGTTTTGTATAAATTTTTTGTCTTCCTCAATACACTGTAAACCTCTTGAGGTAAATCTGTATCTGTGTGTGTGTGTGTGTGTGTGTGTGTGCGCGCCTACAAAGGTAAACATAATGTTATTCACATAGTAGGCACATAGTAAATGTGTTCAGTGAGCACATGAATTAACAGATGAAGAAATAAACTATTGGGAAACTGAGAAAACATTGGGTACTATCTTTGTGAAAAGTGCTTAAGGCAAAATAAAAGGAAGTATTTTAAAGTTTTATACTGAGTCTCTCATAGTTAACCTTTATCTTAAGAAAAATGCATGCAGCTCAAATCCATGAACACTTAAATATAACCCATATGGAACAATAGATAAACTACTGGCTTAAAGTTAAATTCACAATACCTAATATATTTGTATTTCAAGACACATCTGTTTGAAATGATTTTCTTTTTTAGATTTGGGGGAAAGGCAGTTAAAAAGGGAAAGAGAATTACTTTCTTTAAAAATGTTCTTTTTTCCCCTACTGGATAGTTCACATTTCAGCCCCCAGTTAGAATAATGACTTCTGCAGGTGGCAAAACATCAGTAGCTCAAATTACTCACCACAGACAGAGCCTATTCAAAATGACTTAATTCAAAACTAGAGGCCGGGTGCACGAAATTTGTGCATGGATAGGGTCTCTAGGCCTGGCTGGCAATCAGGGCCAATTGGGGCCTTCCGGATGCCAGCCAGGGCCTTCCTTCACCGGCTGCCAACTGCTGGCCGGGGCCTTCCTTCTCTGGCTGTCAGCTGCAGGCCACCCCCTGGTGGTCAGCGCAAGTCATAGTGAGCAAACTCCCGGTTTCCCAGTCGAACTCCGGAGGGGATACATTGCATAGATAGATAGATAGATAGATAGATAGATAGATAGATAGATAGATAGATAGATAGATTGTATGAAGCTCAACTCAATTCAGGAATTAAAGTAATAATCTCAAGAACAAAAAGCCAGCACAACTGAATTTGTATCATGCATTCACTATATTGGCCTGCATTTTCTAACAAGAAAGTTATTTTGCAGACAAGTATGAAAAATAAGTCCTATATAATAAAAGGATAATATGCAAATCCACCAAACGGCGGAACAACCAGTCACAATGATGCGCAATGACCACCAGAGGGCAGACGCTCTATGCAGGAGCTGCCCCCTGGTGGTCAGTGTGCTCCCACAGGGGGAGCACCACTCAGCCAGAAGCCAGGCTCACGGCTGGCAAGTGCAGTAGTGGTGGCGGGAGTGCTATAAGGACCCCTCGGAGGATGTCCGTCTGCTGGCTTAGGCCCACCCCCTGGACTTCGAGAGGGCACAGGCCAGGCTGAGGGACCCCCTTTCCCCCAGTGCACAACATTTGTATTAGAAATATTTTCAAAATTAGCAATTAAATTCCAAGGTAAAAAAAAGGTAAACTTTAAATTGTTAAATATGTATTAGTTTTAAGATTTTCTACACTTAGATGAGGTTTTTAGGTATTCTTATTTCATTAAGCTCTATGGCAATTTAGAGATTCTATTCATGATGTTAAGTGACAAGATAATCATAATATTTTAAAGAATTTATAAATTACAAAAAGAAAATGTTTTTCATTAAAAAGTTACTATCAACTTACCAAAAGGTATGAATTTTACTTTATGCATTATACCTGAAAATTTTTCTAATTTTTCTTTATCCTGATTTCCATGAATACTTGAAGAAAGAATCTACATTGAACATCTGTATCTAATGAAAAATATATTAGGTGTCAGCTTTCAATTCTGTATATTTTATAGCTCCAAAAGGTGAGATTTTTTTTATTTTTTTATCTTTTTATTTTTGGCTAAGGCAGACACTGTTACATACTTTATAGTTGAAATGTGCTGCCTCAAATGAAGGAAAAATGCAAAATGGAGAAGTATTTTTAACAACCATCATATGTAATGTACTTTCCATCCAAAGATTAAGAATCATAAAATATACATTAAAATGTAGTATGTAAGAAATCAGTCATAATTCTTGTAATGCATGATATATTGTCTCATTCTTATTAAAAGTATTAAAAAACAGAATATAAAATTAGCTGAATTTAACTATGACAAATCCATTAGAACAGGCTGTGATGAACTAATTATAATTTCTCAAGTAAACATTATACATTAAAGCTAAATATCTTTGTTAGAAGCAGATATTTAATGTGTGTAGCTGGTTTGAGACTTTAGGTTATAAATACTAGAAGCAGTAGGATTCTTGTACCATAGAATCATTTCTTCCCCAGCCCCATCTTCCACATTGTTGATATGTTTGGGAAAAGATAGGACAATGAATATTTAATTTAAATTTTCTTGGCATACTGACCCTCACTGGGTTGTACAGACTATTGACCTGAAGTTCAATCTAAAATAGTCTAGTCTAGAGGTAATGTCTTTACTTCCTGAATTTATATTGTTGACTTTGATCTTCACACCATCAATTCAGTCATGATTGACAGCTTGCCAGTAGACAAAGATCAGGAAGTTTGGTTAAAAAATGCCATTGGTCACTTCCTATTAAAATAGTAGGGCGGGCACAATTATATGAAATAAGCATCTGTCAAGTAACTAAAATCAACACACATGCTTGCCATAATATCCATAAAGATTAAGTATCAACCTTTAGTGTTTTAAAATGGAGCCGCCCTGGGGAAAAAGAAGCCTTTTTACCTTATACTTTGCTGAGAAAGAATGTTTTCCTCCCAGTAAGTTAGTAGTACCAAATTCAGGTTCCTAAAAACATGATAGCATGTAATAATGACATTAAACACTTGAGTTCTTACTGTATGCCAGGCAATTTACATGCATTCATGTTTTTTAATATGCTCACAAAACTGTGATGTGGGTACTACCATTATATCAATTTCACAGATGATAAAACTGATACACTTAGATTATGTAAGTTGCCTAAAGTCACACAAGGAATCTGGCTCTTTAACTCTAGGTTTAGAGTGTATGCTCAGTCACCATGCCCTTCTACTTTAGTAAATGTTTGCTAAATATATGACTATTTCCTTTTACAATGCACTCTCCCTAACTCATTTGTCTCTTTCACTATAGAAACTCCACAGGAAGCCCTTCAGGAAAAAAAAAACAAAACAAAAACAAACAAAAAAACAGCGTAGGGCTGAAGATAGTGATAGCAGTACTGAAAAATGAATAGCAGTGCACCTTGTAAATTGGAGAATGGCTGAGAATGTCATTCAGGCATGTTCTGATATGTGACCTAATTTACTGCAGAAGAAAACTGGCATATTTTATTTCTACAGGTTGGATTCTATAGAATCCAACTCT